ATTTTAGAAAACCTCCCCTAATTCTTATGGTATTTTTATGTTTTTATATGTTAGCTTTTTATATTTACATCTTTGATCCCTATGTAATGGGTCTTGATTGAGATGTGAGATTTGCTTCAACTTTATTTTTCCCCCATTGGTTGTTCTAACACCACACTTTATTTAGTGATTTGTTTTTCCTCATTGTTTTAGGGTATCACCATTATTACATACTATCTTCATATATGTTTTAAGTCCATTTTTATTCCATATACATACACACACACACACACTTGCTGCCAGTAAATTTTAATCATTAACCTCAATATATCTTAATATTTAAAGAATTGATTTCCTCCTCCTCAGTATATGATGTTTTTTTTATGTTGATGCCATAATTTGTTTCCCATTTATATTGGGAAAACATATATTCATATGATAACATCTTGTTTTTCTCTTGTTGCTCATAGATTACCTGCCCCATGTATAATATTACCAAGTTGGTAAATTCTAAAATAATGTAACACGAGTTCAGCTCAGATTGAGGGGGCAGGCTTACCACAATTATGAATGAATGTGTTTTGCTTGTCAAATTGGAGAGGCCATCCTTAGAGAAAGAATCCTGAGCAGTATATCCTCAGTGTCCACTTGGACCTGGGAGGTGGGGGGAGTGCTGCGGGAATAACATAGGCATGTCTTTAAAACCTCGTAGCATGCGCATGTTGAAATTAATGGAGGAGAGATGTGATTTCAGAAGTCCTATGTTTTCACAGTCTGGGTAGACTGTGGTTTCTTAATGTGCGAGAAATGGAACTTCTGGAAGTTAAACCAGTGAAGGAAAGTGCATGATTGTTCCTTCTCCTGGGCTGACCATAGTTGTATGGAAATGAATTTTAAAGGTCTTTTCTTTGCAATGAAGTTCTTGGCAAGAAATAAAATCTGTATAATGCATTACCTCTGAGTTTTGCTTAAAGAGCTCAAGGATAGACATATGGATAATAGTTTAAAATATAAATATGGTCTTTCCAGTCATAGAAACCTTCTGATCCAAGAGGTACTTTTCCCATTCTCCAAAAAATATACAGCTGTAGACATACCCATAAAGCACCAAGACAAAAATACATGGTATTTGACTCTTAAAAAAAAAAAAAAAGGAAAAAGAAAAAGAAAAAAAGCCACTGTACTTTTTTTGGAGTACTGCAGCCCTGTGATCAGACAGAGTGACTTGAAGTCAAATCCAGATGCCAAGTTGCTGTGTCACCTTCTAGCCACTAAACCCTGTAACTAAGCATTTTTGTTTGGTAAAATTACAGAAGAGATGCCCTTTGGTAAGATATTTTGTTCTATTTTAGTACCTATAGTTTGTCTAGGAAAATGGCTGTCACTGGGTTTTCTCATACTTATCCCATTTGTCTGTTTGTGTATGAGCTGGGGGAGAAGTGCATACTTACAGTGTCAGTCTAGAAGCAATTATCTACCCCCACCCCAATATACACTGTCATGATTTCTAAGTGTTCCTTTACTGAGTCCACACTAGGGGAGGTTTGATACTTTCTGGTTTGTGGACACATATAGGTTGGCAGTGTGGAATTTATGAAGGCTCCATTGGAAAAGGTCATTGCTAATATAACATTAGTTTTGAAAATAGTTATATCCAGACAGATCTGCAGACATCTTTTACCCAAATGCAACTGTGAATTGGCTCAATCTTATCAGGAGGAGACTTACAGACCATAATATAAGGGTTGCAAACATAAGTTGAACAGTTGAGCTTGTCATAAATGGTTTAAGTAGTGCAGTGATAGGGTCTATGTCAGATGTCATTTATGGAAATAATTATGGTTTTATGAAATGGAAAAGGTGAAATACTTGCTAAATTTCCCTGGTCAAATTGCGAGTCCTTCAAAGGAAAAGGCAATTCATACTCATTTCTATATTCCCAGTACTGTGCCTGGCAAGTAATGCTTATTAAATGAATGAATTATTATAGAAAGATTGTTTGAAATGAAGAGGTTAAAAATGTTTCCTGGAAATAGATTATGTATATGAATTCTCCTACTTGCTGCTCTGCTTTAAGGATACCTTAAATGGGGATGGGACCCAGGGGCGCTTAACCACTGAGGCACATCCCCAGTCCTTTTTATATTTTATTTTGAGACAGAGTCTTGCTAAATTGCATAAAGCCTAACTTGCTGAGGCTGGCTTTGAACTTTCAACCCTCCTGTCTCAGCCTCCCTAGCTGCTATGATTGAAGGCATGCACCACTGCCCCTGGCACATCAGTATTTCTTCAGAACTCCTAGGTGTCATTGTTGAGAGTCAATGAATTATAAGAGACTCTTTCACAGAGAAATCTAAAGATCAAAACTGTTTAAGAGATGTAGCTCACTAGTAGAGTGCTTGCCCAGCATGTACAAGGCCCTGGGTTCAACTGCCAGCACCACCATCACCTCAAAAAAAAAAAAAAAAAAAAAAAAAGAAGATGTTTTTTAATTGTTCATGAGACAGGGAAAAAGTGTCCCAACAATCAGGTTCAGAAGTAAGCTGCTTTCCTTATTAATTTATGAGTAATTTTTACATATTATGAACATACGCCTTTTATGGTACAAATATTTTCTTCACTTTTTTGGCTTTTGCACAGGATGTTTCTTTCACATACACATTTTTTTTTTTTAACTTTTATGCAGTGAAATCTTTCAATCTATTAATCTAGTTTTGTCTTCTTGTAGTTTCTCTTATTTATTTTTGCCTTAAAGGCTGACAGCAACTACCCGCCCCCCCATAAAAAGGACTTTCTGACATGTTGTTAACTAAACTAGTGAATAAAAATAAAACACTTAAACACACACACACACACACACACACACACACACAAGAAGGACACCTTAGTAATTCTTCTTCTCTAGCATATTAGTCAGCTTTGTGTTGCTATGACCAAAACATCTGACAAAAACAACTTAAAGCAGGAAGGATTTATTTTTTATCATCATTTCAGAGAATTCAGTCCATAGGCAGCTGGCTCCAAGGCAGCCATTATGGTGGAAGGGAACTGCAGAGGAAGGCTGCTCCACTCAAGGGAGTGGGGAAGGAGAGGGAGAGGGGGAGGGCAGCATGTCCCTAGTGACCTACTTCCTCCAGCCACACCCTACCTACCTAGAATTACCACCCTCTAGAGTAATCCTTTCAAATGATGAGTCCATCAAATGGATTAATCCCCTAATTAGGTTCCAAGTCTCATAATCTAATCATTTAATCTCTGAACTTTCTTACATTGTTTCACACATGACCTTTTGGGGGATACGTTATATTGAAACCATAACATTGAGCAATCCTTCCAATCAAGAGATGTTTTGAAATCTTTCCTGGATGGGTGAATGTGGAATTACAGCTGTTGATTACAAAGCCTCCTCTCCCTCAATTTTGAATTCCTTGTGGAGAGGAAGGATAAATGGATGAATAGAATATTTTAGAGCACTGTGACTAAGTCAGCTATCAGTAGAAGAGATAATACAAAGGAACATTTAATAACAAATTGAGGAATTCCACCAGGGCTTATACTGCATCTGAGGTGTTCCTTTGAATCTATGTGGTGCTTACTCTTGTATTGTCATAATGAGGACTTGTTTTTAAATATACTCCCAAATATATACCACTACAAATAGATTATATATCCTGTATTAAACACATTCCCCTGTTAATTTACTTAAACAAAAGTTATGGCTAAATATTAAGACTTTTCTCAAATGTAGCAGGTTTGAATTTTAGAACTGGCTAGGAGCTTATCATTCAGGAAATCGTGTTTCTGCTAGAGTTAAGACTAGGGTTTGTTTTTCTAATTCCCCAAATAGTGATTTTCCACCACACTGTGTTACTGAAGGCTGTTTTTTTGTTTTTTAAATGTGTGATCTTGGGGCATTTGGTTCCAGGACTTTTTTTTTTTTCTCAAGAGCATCGTATTTGGGTTCATTTTGAGAAAAGCATGTATGAATGGAATTTGATTCCAGTCTCCCATTCCCCCACTTTGTCTGTCCTCTCCTTCCTCCTCATACTCTCTTTCCTCTACTTTACTGATCTTCATTTCGCTCATTTATTTATTTATTTCTGATTGATTCTTTATAAATACACAAAGGTCATATATTTCATATATACATGAAATTCCCTTTGGTACATTTATTTATGCACATCCCATGATTTTGTTAAGTTCATTCCACATTTTCTACCCATTCCTGCCCAGGATATTTAAAATTTTATGTATGATCTCAAATTTAAAAATTTGATATCAGTATAGGTCAGAGACATGTGACCTATACTTATATAGGAGAAGTTCAACTTGGTTTTGTATGTAAAATTTTACTGGAACACAGTCCAATTCCTTTGTGTCTTATCTACAGTACTACAGTGGCATTAGAGACCATATGACCTGCAAAGCGTAGAATATTTAGTATTTGAACCTTTATAGAAAAAGTTTGCCAACTCAGTATAAAGTTAATAATGGAAAAATACCTTCAAAAAGTTAAACAGGCACATGCCTATAATCTCAGGAACTCAGGAGGCTGAGGCAGGAGGATTTTGAGTTGAAAGCCAGCTTCAGCAATGGCGAGGCAGTAAGCAACTCAGTGAGATCCTGCCTATAAATAAAATAAAAAAATGGGGCTGGGGATGGGGCTCAGTGGTTAAGTGCCCCTGAATTCAATCCCCAGTACCCCTTCCCCCCAAAAAAAAGTTAACACTGTCATTTCATTGTGAGTAATGTGCTTTCTGAAAAAGTTAGACGTCTGGCTTCTTTTTGAGATTTTTAAATGATCTGTCTATAAAAGACTAAAATGCCTGCTTGCATTAAAAATGAATAAGAGCTGGGTTTGTGGGGAATTGTTGTGCTCTTGGACGCAGGAATCTAGTTGCCATGATGAAGCCTGTGACCTTGACATCATTGACTGTAGACAGGAAATGCCTCAGCCTGTCACTTCTGTTTTGCTAACTGCAAGGTTACCTGAACTCACCAAATGCCCTTCTTCTTGGCAGGTGGAGTGGATTCAACAACAAGTCGTGAAAAAACGAACAAAGAGGGACTATGACCTCAGCCGTGCCCAGTCTACCTATTTCAATGATCCCAAATGGCCAAGCATGTGGTATATGGTAAGCCCTAAGGAAGTCTGGCCTGGGGCCATGTCATCCAGTTTTGTGTTGTATGGGGAAAATCTCTTGGCATTGGGCAAACAAAGAAATAGTGATCAGGGGCTTATTCCTGTTTTAAGACTCACCATATGAGATTGGTTAATGGCATAGGATGTTTTCTGAATCTTTTTTTGAACTTAACCCTTGCTTTAAGGAGAAATAGAAGAGATTTCCAATTCATAGAAATTGTGTTTGAAAGTACCATTTATGTAGTGAGTTTCTGTTTGGACCTGAGGACAGAAAAATTCTAAGGTACCTTAGTACCTATCTATAATTGTGTTCATTTCTTAAACAGATTTAGTCCTCCTTGAAACCAGTGTGGTTAATGGCTACTGGTGCTTGGAAATCACTGAAATGACTCTGCTATCAAGAATCCTTGCTTAATATCATTTAATGTGTGTTCTATCCCTATAGGTACTAGTATTTAAAACTCGACCTTGAGAAAAGATAGTTGGAAAGAGTTTTTTGGTTTTTTTTTAATTTTTTTGCTTCTTTTTAGTTGTATATGACAGTAGAATCCATTATGATATAATGATAGAAGCATGGAATATATCTTATTCTAATTAGAACCCCAGTCTTGTTGATGGACACAATGGTAAGATTCGCTATGGCATATTCATATATGTACATTTAAAAGTTATATCATATTCTTTCCACTGTCTTTCCTATTCTTATCCCCTCTCCTTTCCCTTCATTCCCCATGTCTAATCCACTGAACTTCTGTTCCTGCTCCCTTTATTGTGAGGGTTAGTATCCACATATCAGAGAAAAGATTCAGCCTTTGGAAAGTGTTTGACTTGTAACTAGTTCAGTGGTTTAAGTAAAAAAAGTTTCCCTGAGGGAAACTTGCTTAACATGCTTCACATTGCTGCCTTTGAATAGTATATACTTATCTAGTCTTAAGAGTTTTTAGCTTCATAATTATTAAGAAATGGGTTTAAATGCATTTCATTATTATTATTATTATTATTATTAGCACTCGGGATTGAACCCAGGGGGACTTTACCACTGAGCTACATCCCCAGCCCTTTTTATTTTTTACTTTGAGATAATGTCTCATTAAATTGCTGAGGCTGAATTCAAACTCGAGATCCTCTTGTCTCAGCCTCCTGAGACATTGGGATTATAGGCATGCGCTGCCATGCCCAGCCTATTACTTAATCATCAAATTCAAATGTCATCAAGTTGTTCCGTAATCTATAAAAAGCCCTCTACTTTTTACTTTTCTCTTGAAAATATATATATTGCTAAACATTGCAGAGTATTTTCCACTTTTTTTTTTTTTTTAATAAACCCTATCCCTCATTCTGTACAAAATGTCTCCAAATTGATGAATGGACCTGAAATAGCATTTTCCTTTCCTACCTCATGCTTTCCTGGATTCTGGCCTTCCATTCCTTCTTCCCCATGGTGCTCTCCCTGCCCTTCCCCACCTCCTTGGGTCAGGATCCTCCCACCTTTTCGAGACCACACCCAAGACCAACTCCTTCCCCAGATCTCCCTATGTCCTCATCTGTCATCATTTTCCCTTCCTTGGGGTAATGGGCCATCCATTCCCGCTCCTCTGGGAATTCGTCACTTGGCACTTTGTATTCTGCTTACTACTACTGGTTTTCAATCGCTTCTGCTAGATCACAGGGGTCCTTTGAGGTCAGGCTCTACGTTTTGATCCTTCTTTATATGCCCCCCGAAAACCTAACAACCCTTGCAATGCTGGGTGTTTGTGCTTATTTTGAGGTGGGGGAATGTGACTGGTATTTTTCTCAAATACCCTTTTCCTGGTCTTAGAAGAAAGTGGAAAGTTGTGGAACTATTTTAGACTCCAAACAGTTTTATACAGAAAGCTCTATCATGTCTAAGGGGGGAAGAGAAAGGAGTCATAAAGGTAAGTTCAAAGGGAGGTGGGAATTGAGACATCATTTGATAGGAGTCACCTGAGGAGATGATAAAACACATGACAGCTTATTTGCTCTAACCAAAGAGAAGTGAACCACACGGGAAGGCTTAGAGCAAGTGTTGTCAGGAGCTAAGGAGCTTTGTCTGCACTGACAAAATAATAAGAATGCAGTGGTATTAGGAAATAAGTTGGAGGCTGAGGTTCCTCTGCACCTGTTTATATGACCAGGATGAGGGAGACCTTCCTTACTTCGGTTGCTGTCTGCATGTGCCCCCTGGATGGTGGGATTGCTGGTACCTATTCTAGATCCCCTTCATTATGTTAGCAGGGCAGGCTGAACTCTAGGAGCAGCCCTGGCCAAGACGTAGTGCCTTGGTTAGCCTGGTGACTAAAAGGTTCCAGTGTCTGCCTCCCAGAGTTTCATTGGAACATCTCTTTTGACATGTGGAAAGGATGAGAGAAGAGCTTTCACTGAGTTGTTTAAAATATTGGATGTTTTTCAATGCCTATTTGAATATAATAATTCAAATAGATAACAAATACTGGACACTTATTATGTTCTAGGCAATGTACTAAGCACCTTATGTGCTTATGTGCTTAGTACATTGCCTAGAAATGCAATTAATTAATGCAAGCAAATTCGTGCATTAATATTGGCCCTGTTACAAGAATGGGAAATCTAAGGCTCATGAGGTTTATGTAACTTACCTAATATCTCCTGATCTGGAAGTGGTAGAGCTGAGATGCCAGAGCAGGGACATTGATGCCAAAGTCTGCTGGATGACACAGCATCCTATGCCTTTTCTACTGTGTACTAGCCCTGTGACGCAGACATTAGTCCTGCCCATCAGGAACTTCTACTCTATCCACAATGAAGTTACTAAAATATAAGGCAGAATCGTAGGCACCATAAAAGATGAATACAGTGTCTTGAGGACAATCAAAGGACCTTTAAGATTTCCATTAAATGATTAATTTTCCCTTAACAAAAAGGAATGGGGCTAGATATGGTGGTGTATGTCTCTGATTCCAGTTACTTGAGATGCTGAGGCAGGAGAATCATGAGCTCAAGGCCAGCACAGGCACCTTAGTGAGTCTCTGTCCCAAAATTTAAAAAAAGAAAAAATAATGGCCAGGGGTATAGCTTAGTGTGAAAGGGGACTACACAAGGGTATGTATACAAGGAAGGAAGAAGCCCTCTTAGATGCTGGCTACCACAGCAAAATGAAAATTTACATGAGAAACCTTTAGCACATTGCCTGACGCTAGGATACCCTCAATAAATCATAATTGCGGTTATTGTTATCTTTCGATGTCTTCACTGAAATACATGCTGGGTTTTTGTCAGGGGGGTACTAGAGATGGAACCCAGGGCTTTGCTTATGCTAGACAAGTGCTCTGTTACTGAGCTACACCCCTAGACTTTTTAAAAAATTTTATTTTGAGACAGGATCTGAGTAAATTGCCCAAATTGACTTTAAACTTGCAATCCTCCTGCTTCAGCCTTGTGAGTAGCTGGGTTTACAGGTATGCACCATCACACCAGCCCATCTGTTATGTTTTTATTTGTTCTTTTAATTGCTACTAGTCAAAGATGTGTGAGAGCCCATGACCAGTGGTCATCTTTGGAGCATTCTTTGGTGACACATTAGTGACATAGCTGAGCCATAGTTTTCCTTTCCTCCTTCTTCCTTTCTCTGAGCCCTGGGACCTGCTGCAATTTCTGAGGGCTACTTGGCGAGCGTCCATAGGGTCCTGCCTCCAACTCATGAGCCTGGGCCTGTTCCTGTCTTTCTGTATTTATCACAGGGGAATGGAGATTAAGGAATGGCATGAAGAGTACTTGAGTGTCTCTTTTAATTAATTTAAAAGCTTTGCCCGTATAACACCTGCCCTTGGAAACCGGTGTGCAAAACCATTATGTGCAGCCTTGAGGTTTGGGTAATATATTCAGGGAAATGTACATTATGAGAGTTTGTTATAGACATGATGGCTGTGTAATTGTTCCTCTGCCCTGGCATATGGTGCTCCAGGAGTTAGAGGGCCCTGTCCTAGAAGTACAACTCATTTATTCTTGTGCCTATAAGCTACTTCCTCATCTGTCCTTTGTCAGGCAAGACACCAGCACTGGGGGTTTCAAAAGACAAGTGATTCATGCCTCCTGAGATCCGTAAAGCAGAGAAGGAGTAGGTAAAGCCTCAGAGAAAGCTTGATAGTCAAGCAGCTTTTCCCCCAAATCTTTTCCCAGAATCATGTGCCTACTTCCAGCTACTGGTGTTTGGGCATTGGCTGTAGTTTTTGTTTGCAGGTTGGTTCTTTCTGTTTTGGTATAGAATTTCATCAGAACTGTGTGGGTGATTTTAATGTCAGTATATGGCAAATATTCAATAAATGCTAATTTCATAAATGGATGAGCAAATCTGTGATCACCTCCATAGTAGAAAAAAATAAGTGCTCACATTTAATGAGTGCTCAGTATGTGTGAGGTGTGTTGCCAGACTCCATCATGTTGTGTCTTACTACCAGTGTCCAGTGAGTCAGGAATTACTGTCTTCATTTTATAGATGAGGACATTAAAGCATATTAAAGTTAAGTTACCTGCCCAAGATCACACCAAGGGCATACCCTGGTGTTCAAACTCGTTCACTCTGTATTTAGAGACCTTGGATTCTAACTTCTACATCTGTGGTTTTTGAACTCCAGGCATCAGAATCACCTGGAGAGCTTCTTAAAATAGATTACTATCCACCCTCATCTTACCCCCAGCACTGAGTCTATACTCTGCATTTCTAACAAGTTCCCCTTGAGCCAATGCTGGGGTCCAGGAACCCCTTTGAAAATCCACTGCTGTGCCACATTTTAAACACAAGGTTATGTGAGCACAGTATGCTCCTATCTCCCAATTATCAATTGGGAGAAGAAGAGCTTTTAAACTTATGGAACATTTGGTCAATTTAACTTTTTCTTGGTCTTATATCTTTTTCTTGCTCATAACATTTTCTATTTGGGAAGCTGGCAGCTTTAATATGAGGAGATGTTTTCACTTTTCTTGCACTGATTGAAA